AAAAGAAGTGCACAAGAAGAAGTTAACCAAACAAGAACAAACCACACAAAAATGTACCAAAAGTGGGATGAAATGACCTAAGTCAAACAACATCAACCACACCACCAAGACTAAACCAAATGAAAGGAAAAGGAAACTCAACATAAAAGTGAGGATGGGATGCTACATAAGGGTAGAAAGGACCTCATATCATGCACTCAACCATAAGCATCACCAACAAAATGCAAAGAAGCACCAAAAATGTCCTCAAGGATTCATCACTTTAGGTGTGCTTTAAATACCTCCAAAGGAGGGAGCAAGACACCTTAAATGAGATTCCAAGGTCATTGGACAGAAGGCAAAGATGGAGAAGAAAGCTCAAGAGAAAATCACATCAAAAATAAATGCAAGCCAAATCACCAAGAAATGCAAGCATACTCCACATTGAAACCCTAATTGAAAGCATCAAAAGAAATACATAAACCAACAAGCAATAAACATAATTTTGACCTAAACATGAACATACATCAAGCTCAACATGTCTAATATATGAAACAAAAGGAGTTGAGAGCTTATTGGATCTACAAAGGTCATTTCCAACTCAAACTAGGTCCTACACTTGTATGAGCCACCCTAGGAAGTGACTTGACTTGCAAGTCATCTCAAAATTAGGAAAAAGGCTCAAAAATGATCAAATAAAATGCAAGAGATTCATAAACATGTTGGAAACTAGAGGACAAAAGCTCAAAGCAAATATCCCCTCAAAGCACCATCAAAAGAAAATAATATTCAAGATGTACCACTTTGAAATGGGAGAATCGAGGGTCAAAAGAAAAGCACCCAAAGTCAAACCTAAAGTCAACCAACCAGGGGCAAAATGGTCCTCAAAATTTAATCAACTCATCATGGATATAAGGATTTAATTTTAGTCATTGGATCAAAAAAGAAATGAGAGAAACAAAACCAAGAACAAGACATGTCAAGATTGAATCTAAATAAAACACTTCCAATGTTTAATTCCATTTTTAATTGAAAATAAAATCAAAAAATAAAATAAAAATATCCTAAAAATAAAGGACATCTCAAAGTGTATAAGAAATATTTTTGTGGAATTTTTGGACCAATGGAACTATTTTTAATTGAATTAAACCTAAACAGATTTAAAACAAAATAAAAAAGAAAAAAAAAGAAAATAATAAAATCAGTGGTGCATAGAGCAATCCATTAAAGTGCAATTGTGTTGGACTCAGCGTGTGAGGGTGCAATCAGCAAAGAGGCCCAGGTCCATCAGCATAAAAGACAAAAAAAATGCCCGGTGATTACGTGTGAGGAGTCAAACAAAGGATCATGGTGGACCGCGCTCATATACGTTGGATCAAAAAGCATGCCAATCCCGTGGATCAGCGCATGCCACATCATTTAAGTAGAATTCAAACATGATTCCATGTGTGTAGTCAAATGACGTATACGGTACGTCTTAATCAAGGTCGTGAATTAAAAAAGTAAGCGCATCAGATGATTCACAACATGCCGACGCATCATCTCTTCCAAAAATCACCAGAAAAACCAGACGACGGTCAGATCTTTCTCCGGTAGTCTTCCCCGGCCATCTGTCCACCGTGTACAGTGACCAAAAAACGCAGGTAGCAAAAGTGCATCAAATTCAACAAATTAATAGTCAATTTTCATCTACACATCTCGTAGAGTCCAAATCCATGGTTCATTAATCATAAGACCTCAAGAATAAGCCAAAATGCAAACAACAAGTCTCAATCTCAAAACAAAAATCATCATAAACAGCCACCAAATCATACCAGAAATGATCTACAATGTTCATAGGTCACGAATATGCAAAAATGGCAAGCAATCTCATCATGAATTGAGAGAAAAGTTGATTTGGAGTTTACCTAGTGGAGAGCCTCCACTGGGCATTGAAATGGTGTTGAAGCTTGAAAAAATTATCCAGAATCACTCCATAAACTCCAAGGAAGCTTCTGATTTACTTAATTTGCCTTGAGATGATGTGAATCTCAGAATTCGAATTTTACTTTTGCCTTTCTTTTTCTCAATGTGTTCTTGTTGATTTCTTCACCAAAATGCCTCTTTTAGGTCTGAAAATCATCCTGAAGCTTTATATGTTGGATTTGGATGGAAATAAGGCCCAATTACAGCTTCCTTTGGTCCAACTGCAATTTCAATTTTCCTTGCATTTTCAAGTTTCAAAACCGTGTGTACTCAGCTGTACAAGCCTCAAACTTGTTTCCAATCACTTGCACATGGGATATACTGATCAAAGGGCCATTAATCCTTCCTTGTTTTGATCTCAATGGTTGAATTTGATCATGTGACTTAAGCTTGAAGTAAGCATGAAAATGGCATACCAAAACTCCTCAAATTCAAATTCTAGAAATGTCATTGTGTTTAGAATATGATTTGCACTCAAAAAATGCATAAACTTGGTATAAAGTGATCTCAAATGAATTTAGTTTGATTTTTCCATTTTAAGGCCTTTTCCATGAAAATCACTTTAGGAATTCTTCAATCCAAGCTTCAACCATGACAAGAGATGGTTTGGTAATGCAAATGGCCATATTTGGAGCAAGTTTGATGTTGGAAATATCTCCATTTGAAGTGTGCAAATTGGTGAAATGGACTTATAATCTCACTTTCCCAAAATACCCTTGCCTTGCAAAGCTCATAACTTGAGTTCTACAAAGTAGGTGAAAGACTTCTAGTACTCTTTGGAAAGCTAAGACCATGAGGAACAACTTTCATGTTCATCAACAGTTAAGGAGAAACATCCTTCTAGGTCAAAAATGGCTTAGAAGTGGGTTGACTTTTGTTGACCAAAACCACATTCATCTGAGGACCTGTAACTTGTCAGCATCATAACTTGAGTTCTAGAAATCATATGAATGACTTCTAGTATTCAAAAGAAAGCTAAGAACATGCTCTACAAGTTTCATGTTGGGGTCAAGATGAGATGAGACTTATATCTTGAGAAAGATGGTCTTGAAGTTGGGGACCAAATAGGAGATTTTACACTGAGAACCCTAATTTAGCAACTTCTCACACTCTTGATTCTTGATGAATTGATCTTGAAATGATATATTAGACCTCTCAACACAACATCCCATGACCATAGAGACTTGGAATTGAGTTTTAATCTCCTTTGATTTCACAATTGACTGAGGATTAACCAGATGAAAACCCTAGATGCAACATTTTTGACTGTGGCCTTTTCCACATCACACAACAACTTGAACAAACTCCAACATGGCTCTCAAAGCACTCAATGAGCTTTATCACCATCCCATATCCATAATTATGAATTCACAATCCTCTGATGATCTTCAAATGGCCTCCAAGTTAGGAGTTGACCCACATACATCCATCAATCCTTTCACAAGACTATTGACCACTTCTAGATGACCTGATGACCATTCATACTTGAGTAACACCTCTTGCTTAGGCTCAACACTCTAGGTAACCTCCTCTTGCTATGCACAACCTCTTGATCCCCTGCTAAATGAAAAATGATATGCAATGCAAATGGTAGAACAATGCAAAAAAACAAAAGAAACAAAAGACAGCTAAAGAAAAAGGTTGGGCAAATTTTGGAGTGCAACAACTATAAGCACAAATATTACTAAAAATGTATAAAAAATAAAGTAAAGTTAAGAGATAAAGTGTGTAAAATAGTTTGATTTATTAATTGGATAATTAGGACAATTTACAAATCATAATATTTTATAAAGAAAACTATCCTCCTTATTATAGATTCGTAGCCTACACAAATACTTCTTTATTTGATTATTTAGACAGATAATGTATGATGCTCCCTATATTTTGGAATATAATATGCTTCACATTTGTCTTAGGGTCTTTTGTTTCTCATATATTCCGATAATCCTACTCCGAATGTGGAACCTCTTTAGGTGGTGGTTGTGTAATTTTAGTCATTTTCAATTAAATGCCCTATTAGCATAAAACATAACCATAATACCCAACTATTTAATTCTATTGTGTTTGCAATAAGTGCAAAACTTAGCATTTATAATGGTCCCAATAGATTTGAAAAAGGATTTAGTTAGAGTCTTATTTATTTATTTACGGTGTAATTGTAGCAAATGTATACATAGACCGTATTTAATCATGGTTTAATTATTTAACAAAATTTTAGACAATGTGCACTAATCTATCTTTAATTTCTTAACCATCTATCCTAATGCACTCAAGATCCAAAATTTATCATGATTACTTACACTTAACCAGATACCACGTATGCAATCAATACCGTTTTTAGGAACGCACAACAACAAATTAGTGCATATGGTTCAAGATTTGTCTCGGTTAAAAAAATACACTTTCTATAAAGTTTAGTGTGAAAATTGTGTCGTGGGGATAAAACTAATATACAACATAATGTGTATATTTATAGCTGATATATAATTTAGAGAAGATTGAAGAAGAATGTATGTGAATGTGTGCAATTTCGCCTTGTGAGTAAGAAGTTATTTTATTTTGCAAAAAGATAATGAAAGGAGGTGTTGATGCCAACTCAATCATATTTCGCTCAAAATAATTAATATTCGAACTTGTTATCGCAATGGAATTTCAAAATTAGGAAGCAAAGTAAAATATGGACAACATAAATTGGTATTGGTGCCGCCTGGCTACCATTATTTTTCATGGTAGAAGTGTCTGTTGAAAGTGGTTTTTCCAGTAAAACATTCCTTAGTAGCTTTTATGTGATCCATGCATGATTTTTTGTCAACTGTTAACAAGACCCATCTGCTAAAGATTGTATATTGACTAGGAAAATCACAAGGATCGTTGCCACAAGGTTGTATTTTGCAGGCTAAAAGAGATGAAAAAATAAAAAATTTGGACAACAAAAGATACACTTGTGATTAGGAAAATAGGGCCTATACAGTGACCTTCAAACTCTATTTTTGGTGCATCTTCAAAGTGCCCCAGGCAATATTACCAGTATGTTTAAAATGTAATCTGCTTTTTTATCACCATTGCTTTTTTCCTTTTCTCTTTTTTTTGCTGCCGCTACCGACACCATTGCCAGAAGCTGGACTTTTCATCCCATTTCCAGATTTGGCGGACGGGCTCTCTGTTGCAGTGCCGCCGTTCATATTGTCAAACACGCCTGACTGTACCGCATTCTGTAACCACTCGACGAATTCTTCCTCAGTCATGGTTTCTTCAAAATTAGGTGCTGGCATATTAGGAGGTGTTGGCATCCGCCCGCCCTTTGGCGTTGAAGAGCTAGTTCCTTTCGCAGAACTATGTTTAGTCATTATACTGGTGTTCACATGAAAACTTGGCTTATGAGTATTTGCTGGACATCTCATACCCTGCGATAAATATGTTCATGTTATGAATCTTATATAAATATTCAAACAAGTCTCAGTGCAAACTATGCAGTGTCAGGCAATCTACAAATAGAGTTGATGCATCCTATCAGACCCTCTATAGAATTGTCAATGGCGGATTACACAAAATGGCGATTTGTTCAAATTCCACTATGTTACAGTGCACTAGCCACTATCAGACAAAACTTTGCTTTAAATAGCATATCACGGAACAATAGTGAATGTGTTCAAATTTCGCTATGCTACAGCTCTATAGTTCTACTATAGCTGCTATCTATGCTATCAAACTCAGCCATTCCGGCCGTTATCTTGGCACGTAAAGAACTGATCCTCTAATGAATTTACAGTAAAATAACTTAAATTAGTTTCAATCAGATCAAACCTATGCTACAGTATCTAAGCACATCATAACAGTTTAAATTTTTAAACATTTATCGCTGGTATCTTATGTAAGCTGAAAGTCTGAAATTATTTCCAGCATGCAGATTCACACATGTCACGTATGATGATTTAGGTCAAAATATGGAAAATGAAGAACTAAATTACCTGACAGATGTACCATTCAGTGGCATCAAATATTTTGCTATCCGCACACACGTAAGCAGAAGGAGAGTCGACCTAAAGATTAAACAAATTTATTCAATTATCAATCAAACTCATATTCCACTTCATATATCACGCAAGGAATTGGCTCAAATAAATTTTAAAAATTGAACTGCATATTATAAGGAATTTTCTGATAAGATGGTTTTTTGAAATGGTATAATGATCCATACCTTCTGCATTAAGCCAAAAAGAAATGGTTGGGAAGATTGTTCAACCCATCCATCACCGTCCTTGGCTTGGTGAAAATCTTGACAATCCTTCAAAATGAAGAAAAACCCAATGTAAAACATCAGTTACATGCAAGGTATAAAAGTGCTTTCTCTTAAAGGAAAAAGTATGCTGACAGTGACAGTATACAGGCAACCATTTTCAAAATATAACGTGCATAGCCAAGCAAACTGTCAGTTGTGTGTGTTAAATGGTTATTTGAGAGAGATAGACAGAGAGTCAAAAGATGAAGAAGTAACCTGGCACCATCTTGCTCGAGACTTTTGTTTTTTAGTGTGTATCCAGAGATGAAAGCCTCCACACCTTTTGCAAGCTATTCGCCTTGATTCACCAAATGGGTCCTCACCATCAGCGTCAGAATGGGAAAATCCAGAAGAAAAGAACCCGGGTCTACTATTCTGGCAAAACAGTTTCATCCACAGCTAAAGTTAGACAAGATAATAATACATTAAATATTTTTTAAAAAGGTAGATTACAAGGTTCTCTAAATTGTGTCACAAGTTCCGATAGCGCGAGAATCTCTAAGAAGAAAAGAAAAAGAAGGGAAAATAAAGGACAGTTAATATGTACATGTGTGTGACTACACGTCACATTTATACACTCTTTAACGTAAATATCTGCCAACTTCACCATTAAAACACATTTTATTACAATTTCATTCTTCGTGGATTCTAATGTCTGAGTTTATGTCACCAGTTGCAAATCTCAAATTCTTATGGATGAGAAAGATAAATATATAGAAATGCTTCACTAACCCATTGTATTCAAGGACAATGGATTCTGTGAATATTATTCCTGACCAGATTGCATTGAATGTAATAAAATATAACTCTCGTGTATAGTTCCATGACACTAAAATAGCTGGAAGAAAACATAAATCATACCCTGCGAGGAGCATTATGAAATCTATTGAACACGTTAAGAATCTCTTCTCTCCTTAGCTCATCATCATAAGCTTTTCTCTTCAAAGAATCCATTAGAATCTGGGAAATTATTATATACCATAAAAGTCAGGTAAAGATTTCCTCTCTTGATTTTCAGTGTGAGCAAAATATATAAACTTACCTCATATGCATTTTGAAGTTTCTTAAAGGCTTCTACGGCCTTTTCATTACCCATATTTTTATCAGGATGTACCAACATTGCCTGATAATCAATAAAGACATGTTATTAGTAATGAGAAGAATTATCAAGGAATGATAACACACTGCAGAAAGAGTTGTTAAGCTATATAAAAAAGTTCAACTCCCATCCAACCAGCAAACAATATCAAACCATCAATACCATAACTATGAACAGTACAATACTATGAAGCCCTGATACAGATACGAACACTGAACATGACACGGATACATCCACACAGTAACAATTTGAGAAGATAAATTAACTGAATGTAATCACAAACTTCAAACTACAACATCTTAAAAGAGTCACAAAAAGTAAAACATGAATGTGCAAGTATTGACATCAAAGATAACCACCTTCTTCCTATATTCACGCTTCAGAACTGAAACATCTATACTTTGATAGCGTAGGAAGCCCAGTGCTGCATAGTGATCAGAGCAGTTCAACAATCGAACAACTTCATCTTCAGAGGTTACATCGGAATCAACCCCACTAGTTGAAGGGACTCCAGCATTTCGATCTGTAGATGGTCCATTTTCAGAGGATGACGCAGGCATGGATTCATCATTTCTAAAACCTGGTTGACCGTTCATTCCAGCTCTTTGCTCAAATGGATTTGATCTACTCTGTTGATCTATGTTTTTCTTGAGGAAGTATACCAGAACATCACTTGAGATGAAAGCTAAATTTAAAGCCAAGAACAAACGAAGCCACCCAACGTACAGCCAAGCACAATATACAGAATAGATGGTGGTGATAAGAAGTGCCACACGTTCATGACGTAACATAAATGCTAATCCTGAATTTCAAATTAAGTCGAAGGATCAATAAGTTTGAAAAGAATATACATAAATTAGCATATATCGATATTGAGCACATATCTATATCCCATATCATGTCTACCCAACTTCCTGTAGAAAAAGATAGAAATAAAAACATCCAGAAGATGGTCATAGAAATGCAGAGAGACAAACAAATCACCTCCGAGGATGACGAAAAATGCTGTTGTCCAGAAGCTACCATATAACCACAGCATAACAACTCCAATGATAGCAACCACCAAAATTGCAAGCACGAACCCGACAAAAAACCCAATCAAGGTAGCCAGTCCCTGACCAATTGCATAAATTAGTTAGCGTGGGGAGCAGGAAAAAATTACAATATTAAATTTAAGAATATAATAGAATGAATAAATACACAAAGCATCATAAGAAGCGAGTTGACGAGACATAACCTAGAACTAAGGAAATCATGCTTGCTAAATTTATTCCTTATACAGGGAGTTCAAATTCACAAGTCAAATAGTTCCAAGACAACAGAAACTCAAACTGACTCTACTTATTTATAAATCTGAAACATTATTGCAAGAATAAGAACAAGTGTTAACAGGGACTGTATCCAGTATATGCATTCTTATGATAGTGAAACAAAATTGCAAGTATAGAGCAATATAGAGCAGGTTAATATGGATAAATTTTAAGTCATGCAGTTCAATAAACATAAGTTGATAGTGAATTTTTCCTTTAGTAATTAAATTAAATGAAAAAGTTGATGATTAATCAACACAAAATACTACAATGCAAATTCACACTTTCATCAGGAGAAAATATTAATGAGTGAGAATGGCTAAGTGATTCTATTTGAAGTAATCACAAAAATCATAAATTCCCCAATTATCAGGATTTTCTAGCCATTTTGACTTGTAATAAATATAGTAGAAAGTAATAACAATTGTGATCAAAGCTTACCAGTACAACCAGAAACTTGAGCATCCCTATCATACTAATCACGGAGAATATGCTGCACCATATAACAGAGAAGAAGGATGTTGTACCCATCCGTACAAATGAATCAATACCTCGAATGGCACAGTCCAACCAAAACAGCGATAATAGAAGGATTATGTTTCCAAAGTGCATGAGCCACGTCAGAACAACCGGATATGCCTGTTTAAATTTTGTTCTGAAACTAGCATAAGCTTCTAATACAGTGGTTCTAACAGATACAAACAACGGCTTCTGCCTGGTTAACCACTCCATAACTGCAGTGAAAATGGAAAATACTGACAACCTTAATCTCCTAATAGCTGCATGATCAGCAAGTTCCATATTTTCTACCATACTTCTCAACTGTAAACCTTCCACTAAATGGCTCAATCTACTCTTGATACTCTGTTGAGCTTGATTACTTCTAGGAAATTTTCCTTCTTGTATTGGAACTTCACCATTCTCACTGCCATTCTCTGAATTACTCCCAAAGGACTGTGATTCCTCCAGGCCATGCTTTGCATTCATCCCTTGCTTATCTTTCCGTGAAGACTTCTCAGATTTCCGCTCATTGATATTACCATCACCAGCAGAACTAGACTCACACGCTTTCTGTGAAAGATCACGATCGCCATTCACAAGTTCCTCTGCCGGAAAAACCTTCACTTGCCCTCCTTCATGACCTTTCATACCCGGAAGAACACCCCCAGAAACACCTTTTCTGTGGTTAATCCCATTCTTCTGTTGACTACCTTTCCTAGCCATGAAGCTTTTAACTTCTAAACTTTCACGAATTACTCAAAAAATGGACTCCAATTTAATCCATTTCTAAACTCATCATCAGCACTATCACCTATCAGTACGGGAAAAACACACAATTAACTCCTATAATTACCATGACATAATGAAGCACACATCAACACTAAAGAAACACTAAAAAAAGTTGCGCAGCAAGAAACCCATTTCAGCAATAAACCCTAAAATCACGGAAACTACAGAACAACTAATCAAAGTTTAAAATTTTAATCACAAATAAAAAATTGAAGATGAAAAAACAATTAGGGATAATTGAAAATCAAGACAAAGAAATGAAACAGTACCAAAAGCGATTAGTGATCAATATGGTAAATTAATAGGAAAAAAACACGAGATCGTAGCGAAGAACATACCTTGAGTTACGCAGCGTAATTATGAAATAGAATCGTTTGAGTTTATTGAAGCATCGAAAACCCTAAATTGAAAGGTTTTTGTGCTCGAAATTGAAATGGAAGAATTGAGAGATACTAGTAGAATAAGTTGTGTGAATTTGTGCAGAGACTGGTTTTTGGCTAAAGCTATCAACCACTCACATGTTCTATACTTCTAAGGCTTTGTTTGGCTTTTCGTTTTTGCTTTTCTTGTGTTCTATAAAGTCTTGCCCTACTAAAGTACACCTTGGTTTTGGTCAACTTAAATTTATGATTTCATTGTGACCAAAACTACAAGTTAACACACTTTTTAAAATAAATGTTTTGAATTTTTGGATGAAATTGCTCTAAATGCTATTTAATTGGTTATGTTTTGTACAAGGGTATTTTGAAATTTACTTATTCATTAAGATTTATATAATAGATTGTAACCAGAGATCGAACCTATTATCGAACACGTGAGTCTATTGAAGAACACGCAATAATGTAACATTTCTTGAGGTTATGAGTTTAGTTTCATCAGGAAACACGCGACAATGTTAAAAGAGTTTGAATGAAAACTTTGTGGTTTATTGTTCTCTTAGACTCGAAAGATTAATTTCTACAACTGTGTACGTTAGAAAACAGTTTATTCACTCGTTTAATGGAAATTTATCATTTGTATATATTTCATTTTTATAAATTAATTTTAAAACAACTTTTATAAATTAACAAACTAAAATAAATTAGTTTATTTCAAATTTATATAATTATTATTCTCATTTTTAGGTGGGTTTATCTATTATAAATAATGAATTATAATGGTAGAAAGTTTATTTCGAAGTATATTAATGGTTAAAATAATTTATTTAGTATTTTGATATATTAACTTATTTATGTGTATCGGAACATGTGTAAAGGATTCCTAGGAGATAACACAAGATCTAACATGGGCAGACAAATAACATGCATTGCTTAAAGTAGGGCTCTCGATTGCCCATTTATCACAGTGAGTCATTTATCACAGTTGACTCTTATTGTCTAAATTACTCACTCTATGATGGATTTATATGTTGCTCATTCACGAAACATGAGGATTAATGTGTTTTAAGGCATTAACAATATGAAAACTCAACCAAAAGGGAATGTCACGTTCTCCCAAAAGAATATGGAGAATAATGGTTTCACGCTCCTATGAGGGATGGAATAACCACCCCATGGGAACAAGAATTTGGGCCTAGTAAACCTCTATAAATGCCTAAGTCATAAGGTTGACGGTGTGAAGAAGATCTTTTATAGGACTTTGGTTGGGTTTTGATGAAGACAACATGTCATACCCTAAAATGTGTCATATCCCTTTTGCTTTCACCTAGCTTTTGGTTTTGTTCATTTTCATACATTAGCATATTGATCATACCTTTATGAGTCATCATTATCATTCATCTCCATCTACATGTAAAATTATTGGATCCAAAGGTTCACTTCATGATGGATTTAACTATTTATCTTGATATTTCATGCTTTGGCTATTATTGGTTGGATTTGAGGATTCTTTTAGATTAAGGTCCAATTGCTAATGGTTAGGTAAGAATCATGGATTATGGTTGGTCACTTTGGCTCTCACATTTTGAAGGTGTAAAAAATACACAAGAAGGGGAGTTTGAATTGTGTTTCGCGTTTTCTTATTATTTACCTTCTAATTAGAGTTTCAAAGTCAAAATTGATGTTCAGATTTCGAGTTAATTCAGTTGCCAGTAGATACAACAGAAGTAAATAAAATAATAGCAGAAGACACAAAAGATTTATACTATTTCCTCCCCTAACTGAGAGTAATCAAGTCTCCTTACCTCACAAGAGTTTTTTTATAACCACTTCATGATTACAATTGTTTATGCTTTTGCATATGTCTTTTACAACTGCTCAGACCAACTGCCCGAGACTTCCCTTGCTTAGAACGCATGTCTAAGACTTATCCTTTTCTCACACCATCAGACTGAGTCGCCTACTCATTTGTCCTCTAGTTGAGACTTCCCTTTATTTAGAGCACATGTCTAAGGCTTTCCTTGCTCACACCATTTTACTGAGCTACCTGCTCATCTGTCTTCTGGATGAGACTTTCTTTTGATTATAGCTCATGTCTAAGACTTTCCTTGCTCACACCATCTGGTTGAGCTATCTGTTCATCTATTTTCTGGTTGAGACTTTCCTTTTCTTAGAGCTCATGTCTAAGACTTCTGTTTCTCACACCATTAAACTGAGTTGTCTGCTCATCTGTCTTTTAGATGAGACTTACCTTTGCTTAGAGCACATGTCTAAGACTTTCTTTTTGCTCAATACGACTAACTAAATAAAACTTTCACAACTCAAGCACTCAAGCAATGAGACTTACATGGCTTAAGCATCTTGGCTCAAGACTTGTTACTTGAATCCCAATGAGATGAGACTTTTTGCTCTAGCACATAGCAGGAAACTTAATCTAAACTACAGAAGGCTCGGCATAATAGAGAACAAGGTGTACATGATGCAATCATCCGAGGTACGAAAGATCATCATAACAAAGACCTAAAGCACTTAAGATTTCTAAATATATACAAAGGTAAGAAATCTTAAGGCTTTTACAATTACAATCTACAACGGAAAATTTGCATATTAAATAGAGTTGATAATTGCTTGATCTTGCAACTCCTTCAACAAAAGAATCCTTGTTAAAAATCCAGGTTTGAATTTTCATCCATATATATAGCATTTCCAGAAACTAGCCATTGAGAAGATGCCTTGATCAAGTGTCTTTGTTTTTGCTCCATAGTACAAGAGACATTGAAGATGGATGCACAATAAATTTCTGAATCATTTGTGTAATACGTTTAACCTTTCAGTCTTTAAGAGGTTCTTCTTATAGAGCCGTTGGGAGCAGACATCCATAGAACGTACCAGCTTTTCTTGAGCCTTTCAATTTTGTAGACTTGAGCTGACAAGATGATAAGACAATACAAAATGCTTTCAGTAGAACAGATAGTACACAGTTTTATCACCAACTTTGAATAGTACCAGAACCTGATATACAATTATTAAGTGTAGAAACTCGTCTGAATGATGAGGCCTTCAGTTCAGAGTCTTATTCAAACCAGACTAGAAGTTGTTCTTCAGACTCTACCACCAGAAGCTAACAATGAAGCAACTCCAAGTGTATCTTAAATAAATAAATTATGATTATTTATCTGCAAGAACCTGCATAAATAAAACACACATCAAATAAACCATTGTTCTTTTAATATTTTTGTTATCATCAAAACTAAAAGAGAATATATCAAGAACAAATCTTGTTCTAACAATCTCCCCCTTTTTTATGATGACAAACACAAGTATTTAAAGGACAATGTTAGGCATTTAATTTTCTATGCAACAACAAGGTTTGAGGTTTGTAAGCTCCCCCTGAGTTTGATAGTTCATAATTGAGCTTGTTCTAGCATTAAGAACTATTTCTCAAGAAAAATAAACTAGTCTTCTTCGCAACATCAGAGTCTGAGGTTTGTAAGCTCCCCCTGAGTTAAACAGTTCCAAGGTTGAGGTTTATAAGCTCCCCCTTAGTTCCATATCTAAGAACACTAAAATGAATGCATTTTAACTCTTTTTGGCAACACTAGAATACGAGGTTTGTAAGCTCTTTTTGAGTCTCATAGGCTAAGTCAGAGGTTTATAAGCTTTATCTTAACACTATGTACAAGAAAGTTAAAATATGTCGCCCTTTTAATTTTCCTTGGCAACACCAGAATATGAGGTTTGTAAGCTCTTTTCTGGGTCTGATAGGCTAAGTCTGAGGTTTGTAAGCTCATACTTAGACCTATGTACAAGAAAGTCAAAATACGCTCTGGGCAAGTAACAGAAAAATAAATGACAAGAAAATAAATTACCAAAATGTATTCAATAAGTTCAGTTTTCACTTAAATACTTACTATTATTTCTCCCCCTTTTGTCACATCAAAAAGAATAAAAAGAAAAGAAGGAAAGAGAAAAAATATCACTAATAAATATAACTCAGATCATCATTACAAGATCATTTTCCAAGAAGGAAGAGTAATCAAGTAATAAAAGTCATTAAGGTTTGTAAAGTGCACGTATTGAAGTCTTAGTGGTCGTTATTGTTCCAAGAATTAAATAAGGATTAATTTATAGATGCTTGGTATCCACATAAGTCATTATAAAAACATCTCACCCCTAAGTCATTTTCATCAATCGCCAACCTAAGGATATGGCATCAGCAACTTAGAGTCACAATACATCTGTCATAATAAAAGCAACTGAGAGCTCTACAAGTTTGGCTATCTAATCCCCTCAGAGGCGAGCTACTTCTGAATCCTCTATAACTGTACCTCTGCTCTCAACACAACTTACTTTTGAAGAAGCTACTTTAGCAGCATTTAAACAACCTTCAAAAGGTGGTTCAGCAGTAATTGCCTTGAAGCCTCAAAGAAGAAGCATAAAGAGATCAAGGAAGAAGAAAATGAGGGTCAACAAGTCATTCCACCACTCTCATCCAGATATAGAAGAGGAAGAAGTGATTGATTCAAAGGACGAGGAGATGGATTATAACAATAGTGG